GACAACCATCATCTGCCCATGACAAACTGCAGGTCAGGTCACCTGCCAGTGCAGTCCCTGGTGCCAGCCTGCTGTGGGGTGGCACAGCCACGGGCCCTTTGGGGTCACTCACATTCGAGGGCCCCGCTCGGAGGAGAACTCGCAGTGGAACACGACGATGACGCGCTTGTTCTCCGAGGGCTGGATGGGCTTCTTCAGCAGGTAGTCCTCCACCTCCTCCTCCATGTGCAGGTTCACAGCCCCCTGTGAAGGCAGAGTCACACCCAAATGCATACAGTGAGCGAAGAGGAACAGTAACAAACCCACTTCACTTCTTTGTGAGCAGTCTCCTCATCTTAGTTTCCCAGAGGGGCTCTGGCAGCTCCTCCCCAGCCTCTGGGAACAGCTTCAAACCCAAGGAGAACATCAACAGTCTAACACTGTCTCTGGGTGACCTGGACCTGTTTCAGGGGCCTTTTCAACAGCTGCAGGCCACCTCTGCTGCTCAAGGGAAGCAGAATGTTCCATTCTTTGAGGGAAAAGTCCCTTTACAAACCAAGTGGGAGCCCCGTGCCCCAAGACTCCTGCAGCAGGGAGGGGTAACAGGCTCAGAGCCCCCTCGGGGCACGGGGGCACCTCAGCCACAACTCAACCACGACTCCTTGGACACTCCTGAGTCAAGAGCAACCCCCATGATGCCAAGCAACCCCAGCTTGCAACTTTGGGCAACCAAACGTTGCTCTTACAGGGCCAACATACCTTGATGTGTCCTCCCTCGTACTCGTAGGGGTACCTACAGTCAATTATCACACACTCCTTGATGAAGCTCGCGAACTTCCCGGTCAGCACAGACACAATCTGAAACAAAACAAACCCACCCAAGAGTTCAGTTGTTTCTAGGTGTTTTTTGTGTTGTTCCCCTCCTCATTAAAGAGTTTTTCTTGCTGCTCCTGGAGCACGTACCATTTCTGAGTCGATGTATTTTAAATCCTGATGTTTCCCATCCACAGTGTGGAATAAATAACCCTGCAAGACAGACAGCATTTAATTCAGAAAAGTCCAAGTGTGAGCCAAGAGACAGCACAGTGGCCAGCAGGTCATCTTCCAGCACAGGTACCTTGTTGTCAAGAATCTCCTCAGCAAAGTTCAGGTATTAAAACTAAGATTCTAAAATTCAGGGACAGAATTTTCTTTTCAGCTCCTGTACTGAAGGGATTCTGTAGATCTTTTGGAACCACCACAAATGACTTGCTTTGTGTCTGACCTGTGACAACACTCTGCTCCCCAACAGCCCTTGACAGTAATTTGAATAATAGTAATTTCCTAGTGATTTGTTAAGGAAGGGAAGTTCTTCATTTGGGTCAGAGGAGACCCTTTATGCTCATCAAGTCCAACCACTGGTCACCACCAGACCGTGTCCCATCATGTTAAATCACTTGAATTACCTTTGAGAAGTCCCCAATAAGGTCCCTCTGGTCACTGTCCAGAATGCTTTCGATCTCTGCTGTGGAGGATTGTGTCTTTACCATTTTCAGGCTCTGGAGGAACACAGGTTAGAGATCAACACTCACTGACAGCAAGAGATCCTCTTCCCAGAAGAGAAAATTCAGAGTTCACCCCAAAGCCCTGGAACTACAACTCCTCAACTTCCCCTTCAGATTAAGGCAAAGCTGAGGCTCAAGAGGATGCAACCACTGCAGCAGCTCCCCCAGACCTCCCACACAACGTGGGGAGAAGGTGGTTTTGCTTCCTCAGCAGCTCCCTGGAAAAGCTCTCTCATTACCCTTAACGAGCTAGACACCTCGGCTACGTCCCCTCCTTATCAGTTCCCTACAGGCCAGGGTGCCAAGCCACCAACCGTGGAGTCCTCAGAAGGTGTTCCAGGCAGGCTCTTCCTCTTCTTGCTTTTCCCTGGAGAATCCTCTTCCTGGGACCTCTCCATCCTTTTCTGGGTGGTTCTTCCAGCACCACTGGGCAGAGATGAGGAGCCGAACAACCGGCACCGTTTGCCCTGCGAGGAAGGAGCAAAGTTAAGAGCTGCCTGGCAAAGATTCAGACTAGAAACTAAGCAAGCCTCAGACTTACAGGCCACTAGAGATTTTGCCTTCTCTAAGCCCCCACCACGGCGCAGCAACAGCAGGATGTGATCCTATTGGATCATCCAAATTCAAGACCTACACTCCCAGTCCCACTCGTTTCTTGCTGTGTGGACTGGGTAAGCTGGGAGCACCATGAGCCACAGAACATTCCAGCAGAGTGCCTGACACCAGTGAGCAGACAATCTATCAGCAGACTAAAGAGCTTCCTGCTGGAGTCTAAACTCCCTTCCCAGTCTGTTAGAAGATGGGGCTACAGGCGTTCCACGTGGGTCTGTGCAGGAAGCAGTCAAGGTACGTTGAGGCAAGAGAGCACTGAGGGGGTTATGCCCATCTTGCCTGGGCACTGCCAGGGCTGCAGGATCTGGGACCCCTCACCCCAGGGCTGCCAGGACTGAGTCCCTGTCCCTGTCCCCTGTCCACTCACCCGAGTGTCCGATCTCCTCATGACCAGCGGCGCGGTCCAGAGGCTCGACACGTCAGCTGGCATCTCCTCATCATTCTGAGGACAAAACCAGAGAAAAGCTCATTCTCCTCTAACTTCACCACAGGCAGAGACTGTAAATACAGCCCCTGCACAGCCCAGGCAAACGTTCCAGCTGAACTCAGCTGGCAGAGCAGCTTTAGGAACTGAACTCAGTAACTCGTTCCAATACTCAGTGAAATATTGGAAACAACTTGAGACATGCTGGAGAACATAAGTTGTATCAACTCATGGATCAATCACTAATGATGTTCCCACAAAGCTTTAAGCATTTCCAATTCAGTTAGAAAGAGTCTTCTCTTTCCATGGCTCAACAGCAAATTCCACCTCCAGCTCTTTCAGCAAGTTTCTAAAGCAAAACACCAACTACTCCTCTCACCTGCCAACAGCAGCAACCCTTCCACTCACACTGAGTAAACCCCTCCCACTGGCTGCACTAGGGAGGGGCAGAGTAAGAGCTGAAGATGATGACAGCCCATCTTTAGGGGCTGCCTGCTGGCAGCTTTCTGCAGCTCCCACCCTGGCTGCTGCTGGAGCACAGGCACACGGGGTGCTGGCAGAGTATGGACACCAGACAGAGCTGGTCTGAAACATCTCTCCTGTTTCTTTCATACATACCTTCAAATCTTGCTCATCCAGCAGCTCTAGGAACCCATCATCATCTTCACTCTCAGAGGACACCAGAGGAGACTGCTGCAGGAAAGCTGCCCTGTACTGATGCTTGCCTGTGGGTGTTTCACCCAGAGCAAACTGAGGCAAGACAGAATTAGGACAGTTACTCCACTACCTTTAACACACCAACTTGAGCAAACCCCAAACTGAGTTCCAATGCTACTGTTTGACCCCTACAAGAGCAGAGTGCTTCACCAGTCTCATTAAACAGCAGCCTTCTTCTCTGGAAAATATCCAATGAAGGCATGAAGGAGAGAACTGGGTGGTGTCAACAGGAAGGAGAACTAATATGAACTCTGCAGCTGATAAGCACAAGTGTGCTCAGGAGGATGGTGCCAGCTGGAGATGAGGCAGTGTGTGCCCAGGGGGGCAAGGAGGCCACCAGCATCCTGGCCTGGACCAGCTCTAGTGTGCCCAGCAGGGGCAGGGCAGGGGCCATCACCCTGCACTGGGGAGGCCACCCTCAAATCCTGGGGTCAGTTTTGGGCCCCTCCCTCCCAGAAGGACCTTGCGGGGCTGGAGTGTGGC